CAACCAGGCCCGGCAGCTCTGACCCCCTGTTTACTGGGGGGGGGGGGGCAGCAGGCACAAGGAAGAACTGCGATGACAGAGAAAAGCCGTCCCTGTCAAATCTAGTCCCCATCACCAGCAAACCCGAGCTGCACAGCCTCCCCTCCAGGCCTAGAGGTTGTTAGAGGGGTCAGGTTTCTAAGGCTCTGCAGGTGTCTTCAGAGGCCCCACACTCTGGTCATAGAGCTCAGCCTTGGGAAGCCTGCTTGCGTTCACAGCTGTGAGTCGCAGAAGAACCCGCGCCTAGACACTGAACACAACTTACCTTCCCAATAGTTCTGTCCCCAGGGTTACCAAGGCCCCTGTATCGTGAGCTCATCTTCTACTCCTGCCAGAGCTAGCACTGCACTACGCCGTATTTGGAACACTCGGTCCTCACTGAGTCCCAGTCAACGGGGTACACTTACTTCCAGATTCAGGGCAGTGCTCCCCCTACAGACCACCTTAGACTCTTTCCTCATACATACATGATGAAAAATAGTTCCTTTTTTTTTTTTTTTTAAGATTTTATTTAACTTTATTTATTTATTTTTGATTTGACCAGAGAGAGAGAAAGTGAGAAAGCAAGCCACCAGGTCTGGGACTCGAACCTTGGTCAGCCATGTGGGAGTCTAGACCCTTAACTACCATGCCAACTGCTAGCCCCAAGAAATAGTCCTTTTTATCAAGCAAGAAGTTCCTTCATCCCCTCCTTGCCTCAGTGTCTCTGCAACCCTGCTTCTCCCGGGACTGCCTGTTCCCCAGGTCCCCCTTCTCAGGGTATGGCTGCTGCGTCGTCTCCCCAGAATTTTCCCATACCACCCCGACAGCAAACGTTGCTGCGTCCCTGAGGGCCCCTCACCCTTTCTACCCACTGCTTGGAGCATACCACGTGCCCTGCGGCCAGGCCTGTCCCCAGGAGAGACCATGACCTCACTGCACGCTCAGGAGCGCCTTCGACAGCCACTGTCCTACCGTCAGGCCTCACCGAGTCCTCGCTAAGCAGCCTCCACGGTGCTCTCCACTAGTCTGCCCTTATTCCACATCCTGTCGAGGTGGGTGACATCCCTGTCTCACACTGCGGTGGCTACAAGTCAAAGCAGTTGCTCACTCCTGACACAGTGCGCTCATGTCGCACGCTCACTCAGCTCTGTCTCTGCTTTTACCTGTCATGCAGTATTTTGGGCGCATTGGGTCATCAGGAATGTCATGACACACTGTTTCATAGAAAAATGTAGAGTACACGTCACGACGTCCCCGATGCCCAGATACCAAGCTCTTTTAGACTCCATGCAGTGGGTCCCTACGAAGTCGGTAACTGACTACCACGGTCATCGGGGATCCCAGAGCCTCAGTCCAAGGACACCCAGCAATGGACACTACCATAAACTGCTGACAGGAGTGGAAACTGGTTGGCACACCACCTCGGGAGGAAGCGATCTGACGGTATGTACCAACAGCCTCAAAGACATTCCTACTGGGGCCAGCAGGTGAGTGGTGGTTCAGACGCTGGACTCCTGCGTGGCAAACCTCAGTTGGAGTCCTGGACCCAGTGCCTTGAAACTCATGCCGGCGCGTGTATGTGTGCGTCCCCAAAACCCCAGGAGGAGGACGGAGGAGAAGGGATTATGGTGTGGCTGCTTCCCCAGGGAGGGTGATTTCTCACTTCCCCTCTCTTGATCTCTCTGACAAGTGCACATGCCCTATGGCAAAAACACCTAAAAATAAAATGAAAAAAATTCATACCTTTTAACTTAATTTTTTTCCTGTGGATCTATTTAAATCCTAAATATAGAAAAAGCTTTAGGCACAAAAATGTTTGTCATAGCTACTCTAGACAAATAAACACTAACTGGAAAGACAAATATTTGTGCCAGTCAGGTGTCATGGTCATTTAAGGGCTGGCTCCCACATGGCAGACCGCACAGTTCAATCCCAGACCTGGCATATTGGAAAACACACTGGGCATGTGTGTTCGTCCCAAACGCTGAGAGGAGAATGGAGAAGTGACTATGGTGGGGTCATCCCCTCTGGAGGGTGATTTCCCACTTTCTCTCCCTGTCTCTCTCCAGTGACCACACATGCCGTATAGCAAACTTAAAAAAAAAAAGGCAGAATTTAAATATTTGCCTATAAAGCAAGTATTAATATATGCATGAATAGATACTAAAAGATCATTTTAAGATGATGAAAAGTACTGTTATAACGTTAAATGAATAAGGTCGAATATGGCATAATCAACATGTATAAAAGACACATGAAAAAAGGAACAGAAAAGTACTGAATATATATTGTTTTTTTTGGAGAGGTTTTCGCTATAGGGCGCGTGCGCTCGCCAGACAGAGAGAGACAGAGAGACAGAAAGCGAGAAACCACCCCCCAGGGGGGATGGTCACGCCGCAATCCCTTCTCCTCCATTCTCCTCTCAGGATCTTGGGCACGCACACACACGTGCCCGGTGTGAGTTCTAAGCCACCGGTTCTGGGACTCGAACCGCGGTCGACTACATGGGAGTCCAGCGACATAGCCATTAACGCTAACTGCTGGTTCCCAAGTACTGAATATTAAAAATGGTTTCCTTCTATAAAGAGATTTCTTCATTCTGGTTTTTTTTTTTTTTTTTTTTTTTT